CAATGCTCTGGTTATGTAATATTCATACTGCTGTGGACAAGTGAGCTTGAGCTGCCAGTCTTTCTTCATGTGCTATTGGGCAGCATGGAAAGCCAATACAGATTTAATGTAACATCAGCAAAAAAATACACAAGAAAAAAAAAAAAAACCACAACCTACCAAACCTGATACAAACCAAACAAATAACTAGATAAATAATGATGAAAACCCAAAGCAACAACAACAAACAAAAGCAAACAATAATGCCATATAACCAAACACCAACAGGTAATAAAGAACAAGTTCCTAATGTAGTACAGTGATTTGAACTTACTAACAATAAAAACATAGGTCCACACTGTAGTTCAATATTTAGGGAAAAGACAAATGGGGACACTGGATTAAATTCAAGAAGATTTTCCCATGATTCATCTCATGCCTGAATACTCCAGGAATTAACTTATCAATGAATTAACCTACAAACATCATGCTTTAAACTAGCAAATTATTTCCAAGTTACATTCCTTTATACACATATAAATATTACCATGAAAACAAAAAAAAAAATTAAAAATCCATATTTTCCACATTGTGCCTCAGCTCCCCAAGCCTGTATCCTCTTTTTCTACTTCTTTTTTTTGTCTCCTACTGTTACTACAACTCTTTCAGTTGCTACTATGTCATACGTGGAAAAAGTATTTTTAATACACGGTGATATACGCACACACAGTTTTATACACACACACACACATATATATGGCTGCATGCATATACACAGATGTAGGAAAAATTATTTCCTTTTCTCATGAGAAAATGAGTAGCTGTTTTATGTTTTCCAACTGGCACTGAACTGAACAAGAAAGCACAGAAAATGAGGAGAAAAAGAAAAAAAAACAGAAAAATAACTGGCAGATGATCTGGTAGATCTATGCCAAACAGGGTTTGAGCACGATGAACTCCATGTGCTTCTCACCTTATGACAATATTTATACATGTTTTTTTATAAGCCTTATTTTTGTCCCTGCCATTCCATGTAAAAGTCACATTTGGTCATGTGTTTGAACACACCACTGCAATAAAGAAAGCGTTCGAAAAATTCCGAAGAGGATTACTTTTCTGCATTGATAACTGTTCATGTTAGACTGTGCCAATGTTATGGAACGCTGAATATATTTACTGTGACAAGTGATCTAGTCACAAAGCTAAATTTATGTGGAATAAAGATTTTGCCCATCTGTCCAGGAGTAGAAACGAGACTGTATGGTTATGCCACAATATTTCATTTTCCATGTGTTAGTCTGAGCATGCTATAAAGCTGAGTATCTATCACATGCTACTGAGAAAAAAAAAAAGCTTCATACTGCTCAGAGAATTCAAAGGCACAGAGAAGGAAAACATGCAATATAGCTGCAATCATGACACACAACTCTCATAATAATTTACTGCCAAAGTTGTTCAGCATACTGTATACTGTCAATGAAAAGACTCAAGAAGGATACTGAATAACAAATAAATGAAGTAGCATTTTACTGCAATTAATATTTACAGATTTGCAATATATTTCAGCTTAATCCAAGCTGAAGACAGTTCTGTTGACAAATATTCTGTTTATTTGCAATTAGAACATTTGAGGTAACCTCATCAATGTTTATACAGAAGATACTATGAGCTAGGTTAAGCTTGATAGGAGTTTCACATAACATGTTCTTGAGATAAGAAATAAAAGATTCACTGCAAGTAGAGTAACTGTTGTCTGCTTTGCACTTAACATACATAACCTTGGACTCACATGCACATTAGTATTTAAATAGGGCCTGCAAAATATCTGAGGCCTTAAACATCCTGCAGTGTCCCTGAGGCCTCACCAGGGTCATATACCATTAGTGTCAAAATCATGACCATACTGCTAATAGAACAAACCAGGATTATCTTGTTCATTTTCTTCCCATCAGACAAATACATACACACAGGTACATATGTAATCCTTGTAAAATTGTCAAGCTCCTGCATCAGCTAATTTAAACTTCCCTAAATCTCAAAAATTACCTAGCAGCAAGAACCCAATAGATTTGTCTGGTATTGTTGTGTTCATCTCTGTATTCTTAAAATAAGTTTTCTATTTCTAAACTAGAAGAAAAAACATGGATATTATTACTGAAAATACAGGTCCATTAGTATTTTATAGTGAAGATAACATATTGAATGCTCTAACAGTACTTCAAGTAATTAAATTTTGAAGAAGGTCTTAATAACATACGTAGGAGCATTTCACCTGTAGCAGCAGTAATACTGATCTCACACCATTAAAGTTTGCAGCATTAAAGCCCCTTACCTTCCTGCATATTTCTGCTAGCTCTCACTAGCAGAAAGGACATCACTTTTGCTGTTAGTTTCTGGCAGACATCAACACAAGAAAGTAATTCTACCTGCTATAGTGTCTGCCTGACTGCCTGATAATGTCAATCAATAAACACAATCACTTCCAAGTTACCATAAAACAAGATGTCTGTTACAAATTCAAAGATGAAAGTTTTAAGTGTCAGGGCAACCCCAGGCACACCTACAGGTTGGGCAGAAAAGGGATTCAGAGCAGCCCTGTGGAGAAAGACTTGGGGGCATTGGTTGATGAGAAATTTAACATGAGTTGGCTTCAGTATGCACTCACAGCCCAGGAAGCTAACCGTAACCTGGGCTGCATCAAAAGGAGCATGACCAGCAGGTTGAAAGAGGTGATCCTGCCCCTCTACTCTGCTCTCACGAGACATCGCTCAAGAGTACTGTGTGCAGTTCTGGTGTCCTCAACATAAAAAGGACATGGAACTGTTGGTCCAGAGGAGGGCCATGCAAATAATCAGTGGGCTGGAGCACTTCCCATATGAAGACAGCCTGTGAAAGTTGGGGCTCCTCAGCCTGGAGAAAAGAAGGCTGCCTGGAGACCTCAGAGCAGCCTTTGAGTACCTGAAGGGGGCCTATAAGGATGCTGGAGAGGGACTCTTCATTAGGGACTGTAGTGGTAGGACAAGGGGCAATGGGTTCAAACTTAAACAGGGAAGTTTAGATTAGAGCTAAGGAAGAAGCTCCCTACTGTGAGGGTGGTGGGGCACTGGAATGCATTGCCCAAGGAAGCTGTGAATACTCTATTCCTGCCGGTGCTCAAGGCCAGCTGGACAGAGACTTGGGTGAGATGGTTTAGTGTGAGGTGCCCCTGCCCACAGCCGGGGGTTTGGAACTAGATGTTAAGGTCCTTTCCAACCCTAACTGTTCTATGATTCTGTAATTTCTGTATTCAAAGTATTAATGAGCCTTAAAATACTTATTCATACATTCACTAACATGTACTTCATGAATATCAGCAGATACTTTATAAATTATAAAAAGTAGTGGATTAGTATAACAGTAGTTGGGCAACACCAGAATAGATTTATAACACTGATGGCCAGTGTGTACAGCACATCATCACAGACACTACTGAACCATAAAAAGAAAGACCTGTTGAGTTTCAGATAAAGCTGGCACTTGATCATGATAAATTATTTACGAAGTGGTCTTGTTGAATCATTAGGGAAATCCTTTCTTCCTCCTTCACCATCCATTCAAGACAAGACAACGTGCTTATTTTAAAACAACATATAGCAAAAAGAATGCACATTTCTATTAACAGCAAAATAACAAGTGAAGTAAATACGAGGGTACCAACTAGGGCCAATCCTGTGTTACAGATCTGAAAGTGTTGTGATTTTCATTAGCAGCATCAAAATTGTTCAGAATAACATATCCTGTGGCACGTTAAAATTAGGTTAGCAAGGGGACTATGTCTGTGTAGAAGTACTGAGAATGCACATGTGAGGACAAAGTAATTTTCGACGCATTCTGTGCTTGATGGCTTTTGTCTGAATTCATAGGATTTCCACAGACTGCCAGAAGAAAGGCAGTTCTACCTCTGTTCTCAAAAAAATCCAGAAGATGATTAGGCTGGAATAGTCAGCATTGCTTTCTTATACCATAAAATTTTGTGCCCTGCCTACAATTTCTTCAAGAACATTCTTGTTCTACTCTACCAGCTTGCTACTAAAGTCTGAGCTGCACATGCAGCTATGTAAACATTGCAAAACCCCCAAGAAATTTAGCTCCACTATCCATTTGTCTGGGTATACAGCTAAAACCCAAGCAATTCAGCTGTGAAACATGTTTCTAGGTTCACAAAACATCTCTAGCAGTAACTATGGACCCCAAAGGATTTTGGAGAGGCACAGTTCAAGTTCCTTATCAAAAGTTGGTATTAACAGAAATATTTAATAAAAAAGTCATATAGGATTTGCCCAAACACAAATGATTTTGAAAGTGAATTAGTAGCTTGCTGGCAAAAGAATAATTTTAAAACGACTACAGATTTCCCTTACTATAGTATAACAGTTCAAAATTGCAGCAAACTTTTAAGCTACTGTGGGATAGGATATACTCTAATCCACTAAAAACTGAAATATCTTTAAAGCAAGCAGGTGCATGCAGTATCCATTAGTTCATTAATACTACATGAACCCACTGTTTCCTCCTCCTAATATAATTGTTAACAGGCTGTTAAGAAATCAGTAAATTTTAAATGTCAAAAAAAACAATACCCATAATCCTTCAGAGTAATTCAACTTGTAAAATAAATCAGTGATTCCATACACTTTTGTGCAGAATTTTCTAGGTACTCCATTCTTAAATTAGACTGGGTAAGCACAGTTTCACCTACTAATTTCCCAAGCAAAGGGGAAAAACAAAACAAAAAAACAAAAACCACAAACCAGAGATACAACTTCAGCTGGACAAATTTGCTGTTTAAGTCATTGAACCTACGGGAACTTACACCGATATAAGATTTGTCTCTGAAGAATCACATACCTATAATATCTATATGCAGATAGTTGTTTTACCTCTAAGCATGAAATATACACATTATTTCCACTGTGTTTTTAAAATACTCTAGATAAAAAAGAAAAAAAAACACACAAAAACCACAAAACACGTAACATCTTGAGTAAATTTTAGTAATTAAAAAAAAAATCACATAGTCCTATTTATTCTAAACTTTGAAGCCATGTAAGAAAGACAGAAAGAGATCTTAATATGTGCTTGTTGACACTGCCTGGGTACTCCATCATGGTAAGTAACAATAATAATGATCAGGATTCTTGTATACAGTAACCTGAGGCAAAATTTAAAAAAAAAACCAAAGAAACAAACTTTAGTCCTTTAGAAATACACTTACATAAATAAACACGTATGCATATCAAAACCACTACTAATAACCTCACTAAAAGGTACAAAGTTTAAAAAATTATTTTACATGTATAAGAAGTTAAATACAAAACCATTTTTCCCACTGGGTTTCAGCATTCTGTAAGATTCTACCTAGTGCCATAGCACCCCTACCAGATGTTTTCAGATACTTCCTTAGGGACTGCCATCTTGTTTGGAATTCCAAAATTCACAGTACAGGTGCACTTTTCACACAAATATCCACTGAAACTTGGCAGCACCACGTAACAGTGACATTCTTATCTCATACAGACAGTTCTAGAAAACTGTCTAGAAGATCAGTTCTAGAGTTACTGATCAGCTATTAATAAAATACCTTCCCAACTCTTCTGGTGAAGGTATAGCATATAACCTTGGGAAAGATCCAGTCTAATGCATCAGAACATATGACACACACAAAGAACAAGTAAGTTTTTGAAGAAATTAAAAAACACATTAAAAACTGTTATTTTTAAAATTCAGTCATAACTGAGTTCCTTAACAAAGGAACAGAAGTAGTATAAATACAAGCAGCTCTTAGTTTTCATCCATTATCTTCAGAGGAAAAAAATGCCTGTTATTTCTGACACTTAACTCCAAACAGAAGGATAATCCTCAGACAAAAAGTATGTTTTTTCACAAGATGTAGAGTTATAGGAGCTCAGGCCTTAGAGAGAACCTGATCCAAAATCTTCTAGATGATGATGAGTGCTTCTGTAGGTTTCAATGACTTTCCCATCATGTCAGCCCATAATTAGTATCACCTTCTATGAAAAAAGACTGGTTGCTAGAGATGTTTAAGTATAAAAATCAAAGCTCACTTGCACCAAAGGGATTACTTGCTTCTACTCCCTCAGAGGTCAAAGGCATTTGCAGTTTTATCAAGAAGTTACTCTGATTATCTATTTCATTAAATGCAGAGGGATTTTTTTTAATAATTAACATACCTGAAGCTTGATATGATTTCTAGCCTCTAATTTACACAGTTAGATGTTTGTGTTTTGAATTTCTGAATTGCTTCTGTGTGAGAGGCAGACTTTGATAAGTTTTTAATTAAACTGATAATATCACTTTAAAAGCTAAAACACCTAGAGTATAAAGGACACAAGTAATAACAGATTTTATAAGACTTAGCAGCTTTATAAAGCTTACCTGCTTTGTGAAAGAAACTGCTTTTGTGAAAATGTGTATTTTCCATCTGATTGCTTCTGAAGAACATTTAGAAGGTTAGAAACCTCTGGCTTTAAAAAGTATTGTGTATTACCATTTCAACAATTCAGTTTTGCTCTGCATTTCAAAATGGGAGGGCTGTAAACTTTTCCGACTGAATGAAATAGCTGTGCATTTCATTCTCTCTGCTCCTCTCCTCTCGGAAACGGAGCTCTTCCTGTGTGTTAGATTCTGTGCGATATAATGACATTTCTACTTAATTATAGTACTTGCAGTTTAACTGCTACAATTATTTAGAAAATATTGCTAACATCCTAAGAGAAAGCAACCTCTCAAACAGGTGGATTCCAGCTTGGCTCTCAAACACTGAAATCAGGCAGTATATCACCTGGGGAATATTTTACATGCAACTAAGGAAGGAAGTAACCAAGCATATTTCAAAGACACAACCTGTAACTGGGGATAAAGTACCTCCAACAGAAGCTGAACATTGCAAGCTTTTGAATGCCTCTGGCAAAATGACCAAATAACTACAAAGGTTAAAAAACTGGCAAGACTCTGGCAAGTCTACCTACATGGGAATTTACTAGATTGAAAAGCAGAACTGTTTCCTATATGGAAATGGATTATCAACCTAATTTAGTAAAATCCCAGAATCAACATTTCAGCTGCCACACTAATGATTTGAGAATTTCATCAAATTCTCTTCACTGCAAAGAATATATAAAACCTCAGCTGGCACAGAAAACCAGGTCCATCAAAAAGCACACTGCTGAACATTTTGCCCAAAGTCTCCATATCTTCATCTGACAGAAAAGATGATTCTTAGCAGATACAGGAAGTTAGCCTAGTATTACAACTGACTAGGTGTTTCCAAAGCCAAACATCAGAGAGCAGTAGCAGGAGACACAGGACTTAGGTCAAAGGCTGTCTGAATCAGAGCCAGATACCTGATGCTACGCAGGGACAACATAGAGATCTTTTAAGTAAGCCACAGTACAGAAAAGATGAATGTTGCAATTCTGACCTCGCTTGAATGAGCTATTCAAAGAAGTCTTCTCAGTGTTCTCTTAAACCACAAACACTTGCCAAGCATGCATTTGGCCTCACAGTAATGTATGCTCAACAGAGTAGGAATCCAACGCATAGAAGGGCAAGACCATACTGTTTGTTATGTACCTAGAAATCAAATGACTATTGGTTTTGTATTTTCCTTTAGATCCCGGTTTTTAATGACAGATTTCCACTACTTCTGCATGTCAGAAGAAGGATCCTGTGACTAAGCAAGTTAGTGCTTGATTTTATAAGTGAAGAAAGTAATTTAAGATCTGTCATTCCTTGAGGAGCACTAAACTGATAAAGAAACCAAAATTATAATTATGACCTGATCTGAAAGTTAGCAAATATAGCAACTATATGTATATTAAAAAAAATAAAAATCTGTAACCAGGATAAACATATTGACCTCAAGCAAGAAAACTAGCCTGATACCTTGCCAGTAACAAAAAAAACAAGATGAATTCAAAACATTAAGCAAGTCTTCGGAAGCATACTCAATGCTTGTACTTAAAGTCTCAGTTATACCATTTTCTCCTGAGAATTTGCATAATATGACTGTTAAACTGGAAGAGTCTGAAAAATATCCCAGCTTACATTTTTCTTTCTCCAGATCAAAACAATTAAACCTTTGTTTCTTCTGATGAATCAAGTACAGCCTATGTAAGCTCCAGAGTCAAGTCTTGCTGCATATTTAAGTATCAAGGCTACCATACAAAAGGGATCTCACTTAACTGCTTACTATATATGAAAAATTTTCTGGGAAGCTCTGTCAAGCTCAGCAATAGTTCTCCACTTGTATTTAGCTTTGAAACCCACCATTTCTGTTTCAGACGGTGAGAATGGCTTATGTGCTTTAAAACTCATCTAGCTTTTCCAACTCTAACACCTGCACCAATAAAAGTTATTACAAGCCTTGGTCTTCTCCACTTCACTTACACTATCACACCGAAGTTCCATCATATAAGGCCTTCAAAAATTATTTGAAATTACTTACTCTGTTAAGAGTACCAAACGTTTCTCTCCAGGCTCCGTACAACTATACTACTGCAAACTCTCACACAGTGTACAAAGACATCATTGTGATTTAACCCCAGCTAGCAAGTAAGTCCCACACAGCTGCTCACTTTCTCCCCGCATGTCGGGATGGGGGAGAGAATCAGAAGGGTGGAAGTTTTCACACTGCTTAAGCATTGCAAATGCTTATTACTCAACAAGTGTCAGGCCTGAAGCAGAATTCTAAATCGACCAAAACTCTGACAAGTTTTAATCTGTTCAATTTCCTCCCTCCCCCCCCCCCCCCCCCCCCCCCCCCCCCCCCAATCGTACAGAAAACCACTCTCCAAATAAACACAACAAACCAAACATACATCAAAAGACTGGCATGGTAATCTAGCTGTTGGACTCCCATTAACTTCTACCTAAGACTGGAAGTATACAAGAAAAATCCTGCATGCTGCCTTCAAAATGTAGAAGTAGGTTTACCTGTATTCATAACAGGGCTGTAAATGTTTTGGATGTTAACGTTTCCCTCACCCTCAGCATTATTTTATTTTTATTTGAAAGTATTCTTGTGTCCTAACAAGTATGCTAGGAAACAGCTAACCTGGTATAGAGGAAATACTACATATGTATTCAGAATTCAAATTATTTCTGTGCTACACATAATAAATAATGTACAAGTTTTAAGTTGTTCTTGTTCTGTAACTTTATTTTCTGCTTTCAGTAACAAGCCTCATACAAACTAAAGCAGATTTTACAAAGGCATCCAAACTTCAAAAACACTTCGATGCTATTTGTTACATACCAATTTAAATATTGCTAAGCATCCCTACAAAAATGGACATAGTAATATGAAATTCATCCAGACACATCCAAATATCAGAGAACCACCCATCAAATGGACTCCTTTACGTAACATTTCAACTGTGGTAAAGGCACCATATTTTTTCATGCCTTCCTGCAGTACCAAGATCTTCTTCTAAGGGACTAATGTTAATGTTAAAGCTGTGAAGACTCCTAAGAAAAAAAAACCACCTGAATTTATTAGAAGTGTACTTTTGTTCATTTTCTATTTCAGGAGAATTTTCTTTTTCTTATGAATGGAGACAACAGCTTAGTACTTTTAAAAATGCCTGAGGAGAAATCATCAGTTTCTTAACAATACATGGGAAACCTAGTTGTGGCATTTTACCCGTATGTGAACACGTGTGGAGAGGGATTTCGAACAATGAAGATAGAAGTTTAAAACTGTGATTCTTATATTTATGACAAAAATATTAGTACAAACTATTAAGCCAGGTTAAAAAACAAGACACGTCCTCAACATAAGAAGGACATGAAACTGTTGGAGTAAGTCCAGAGGAGGGCCACGAAGATGATCAGGGGACTGGAGCACATCCCATATGAAGACAGGCTGAGAAAGTTGGAGCTGTTCAGCCTGGAGAAGAGAAGGCTGCGTGGAGACCTCAGAGCAGCCTTTGAGTATCTGAAGGGGGCCTATAAGGATGCTGAAGAGGGACTCTTCATTAGGGACTCTAGTGACAGGACAAGGGGTAATGGGTTCAAACTTAAACTGGGGAAGTTTGGTTAGATAATAAGGAAGAAGTTCTTTACTGTGAGGGTGGTGAGGCACTGGAATGGGTTGCCCAGTGAAGCTGTGAATGCTGCATCCCTGGTGGTGTTCAAGGCCAGGCTGGACAGAGCCTTGGGTGACATGGTTTAGTGTGAGGTGTCCCTGCCCATGGCAGGGGGTTTGGAACTTGATGATCTTCAGGTCCTTTCCAACCCTGACTATTCTATGATTCTGTGATTCTATGGGATAACCACAACCCATTTCCAGTACATAAACGTGAGAGATTATTTTTTTTGTCCTGAAGATGAGTTACATAAAACTGCTATGAAAAGTAAGTATTCTCAAGACATCTTCTGATGTAAATTAAGACCAATCGAGAACAGATGATACACAGAAGAGGTCATCTGTTCATGAAAGAAAAGTAATGGTTAGCTGGGTTGGGTTTTTTTCAGATGCCAGGTAACTCCTAAGGATCCCAATATTCTTTCCTCTACACGCTTTTGCAAATAGCCCTTTCCCAAGCCATTCACTTAGGACAACCCCATCATGCCAACATCCCATAGCTACTAGTAAGATACCAAGAGCAGTGTACTAAGAACTACGTACTATTTTGGTAGGGCATTTCTTTCTCTACTAGCACATATATTTCAGTATACTACAATACAGAGTACAGCACACATGAGTGATAGTACTTTGGTCCACTCTATGTGTTCATAACTTCCAGAATTACTCTGATATTCACTGAATGCCTGACTCTGCCAAACTACAGTAAAAGTGATCTTAAATAATCAGCAGCATTATTAATGTATGGCACTTCAACTTGTTTTAATTTTCTTAATCAGTAATGTACAGTGCATTTTTACTGTTCATTAAATTATCACCTGAATAATTTATTTTCAGGCAACAAAATTTTGTATCTCCACAGCTGTTCGTAAGGCTGTGGAGCTTTCCTCACCTTTCAGTGTAGAAAATATGTAGCCAATTAAGAGTGTGAACATCACAAATTTAGGAGAAGATACTTACACCTAGTCTCATATGGCACAAAGGTTTGGGAAAAAAAAAAAAAAAAAAAAAAAAAGAAACACCCCAAACACCTCACTTCCCTCTTCCTCCCAATCACTTTTTAATCTACAGCCTAACTTCTTTTCTCCTCCTCCCTCCCCAGGATGGCAGTCTCAAATACATGACAATCATTTAAGTTTCACAGAAAATGTGACAGACTGATAAACCCCTTCTTAAGAGACAAAAGGAAACAAGAAAATCTACCTAGAGAACCCACAAGAAAAGCTCCAGTACAAGGGTACTTTTCCTTAAGTATCTCATAATTCTGCAAGATGTACCCTAACAATTCTTCTAGTATTAGTGTTTGCAAGTATTCTTACCTTCATCACAAGAACACAGCAACATAAGTGCTGAGCATATTAAAAGAAACGTATGGATGTGTTTTGATATGTAGCTGGTAATACTCCAGGAGTAAGTTTGAGGCTTAGGGTTTAGATTTCAATAAAATTCTCTTTTTATTATCCTCCTCTGGGAAATTAAATATGCTTTCACACTTTAGAACCTTCAATAACAATCAGCTAATGCAAACACCTTAAGTTGGATCAACTGACTTTATCACTGATGCTCCAGAGCCTACCTACAACCTGTTACATCTTCACTGACAGCTTTGGGGATACGCTAAGTAGGCATGAATCTGTCTGAAGGTCAGGTACCCTGCTACACGCCATGGGGACTGTGACTACCCCAAATTTCTTTACCTCCTGGACCATTCATCAACTCATCGAACTACAACTAGATGCAGCAATAAAATTGCCTAGTGACTGTGGCTACCACTTATTAATAACAATTTCATTTTACAAACATAAACCATATAAAGATGATAGATACCCAGTGCATCAATTGGTTCTCATTCACTGGACCTGTAAGATAGCTCTACTTTAAAAAAAAACAAACCACCTGCTTTTTTCCCTTAAATAAAAATAATAAAGGCAAAAAAAAAAACAAACCTCAATGTGAAACAGTTGTTCAATGCCAACCCTCTAAAATTCCAGCGATTCCTTTGCAGAAAGCTCCCTAATCGCTGCACTGAAATTCCATCATCTGTAAGACCAGACCTGTCAGAAATCTACTGAATAAAGTTGAAAGTAGGAACCTGCCTCCATAATCCAAGATGTAGTAAGCCTGTGCCGAGTCCCAGAGGGGATAATTAGGCTTGCAAGTCTAATCATCCACTGTAATAGAACAGCCTTTGTTCTCACCAAGCAGGTCTTGTTTCAGTTCACCATCTGAGAAATGGGAATATCTGATGTCAATAATCAATTGACCTACAGAAAACATTTTGCATTTCAGAACTTCAGAGGTTTATAAAACCAAGTTCTCCTCCCTTCCCCCTACACCAAACACAGCTATTCATGAAGAATATTCAAGATTGGGTCTTTGAACCTAATGACTCAAATACATCACACAACCAATTACAGATATATAGATCACACAGCCTTCCCTTATGTAATGTGTAAACAGGATTTAGTATGGCTAGATCTGCTGTAAAATTTAATTTAAACTGTGTGAAAATTCTAGTCTACAATTCTCAGGTGTCAAAAATTGAACAAGTGCATAAATTTTTATGCCACCATCCTTGATACCTTACAGTCTCAGACACCTCTCTCGGATACTTTTCAAAGATAACCCTAGAAACTAAAAACAGCAATCTGGATACTAAAACCACTGACTCGATAGAAAATGACAGTGAAGTTTCAAGACCAGTTTCATAAAATTGTAAAGCAACTTCAACTGTAGCAGATTCTGTCTATTAAATTAGTATTTCTTACCTTTTGCATCTCTCCAAGCAGGTTCCCACTTCCTGGTCAGTAATGCCGATTCAATAACTTCCTGAACTGCAGCAAGTTTTGGCCATCACTCTCTGGGTCCACAGGCAGTTCCTACTGAACTGTCTTTGGACTGGCTGGCTGCACCTCCCTCTCTTGCATGGCAAACTCCAGTGGCACCATTCCTACCACACCCTGCAGTCTCTCAACACTTCCATTTCTTGATAGTGCCAGCTCAGCAGCTCCCTCAGCAGACAACCTCTCCTTTCCTCCAGGGGCTTTCTGTCAGCAGTCACTTCATAAGAACATAGGCTAAAAGAAATCAAAAGAAAAATTATGCAAAATCCAAATATTTGTCACAATCTTTCTAAGTACTTTTTCTTAACAACTTTGAAAAATACTGTTGCTTACAACATCTTACAAAAATTTTGTTGGGGAGAACACAAAAGAAATAGGAAAACACAAAGGAAAAGCAAGGAATGAGCTCCCCCAAACCCATTTCATTAATATTTCCTCAGAACATATAAAAATATTTCATCCATCTTTAACATTTAAGATTACCCAGGTAGTAAGGCTTTGCAGCACATCACTTGCATTCCTTCTCAGATTCACAGAAGCTGGGAATATTTCTGAGCATACAAAAAAATCCCATGTAAAAATAAATCCTCTAAACTGTATGAGCTCACCCTGGTCACTGTTATTTTCTCAATGCACACATTCTGCATGACCTGTCTGAATTTACATCTATCTCTTCCCTTTAGGAAAAAAAGTAACACAGCACATAAAAGGTTACTCTTTACAATACAGCTATTCACTTCAGCAGGTCCTAAGCTGATGTCATCTGCATTTTTCCACTTACGGAGCAGTACAAGTGTGAACAATGTGTTTAGATTCACTCTCCCTGGAAAATGTGGCAAGGCTGATGAAAATTAAACCTCTGAGGCCAACCTCAAGACAGCTCATAAGCAAAACTCTTAAGAGTAGCTTCAGCCTAAGGATGCTGCTGAAGTACATACCTTCATGTAGCTCCTTGCTATTTCCAATTCACATACTACCACTGAAAGTGACTCCTAGTAATAATATAAACACAACTAACATTGTCCATTCCACCTACTGTCGTTTCTAAACGTCACAAAAATCTAATCTTACTTGAAAAGCATTGCTATTAATTAATTGATTAATTCAGTATTTCATGTTCTTGAACCGACATGTGAAAGAACCTTGTTCTGGCACTTGTATATAACACAGCCATTGATCTATCTATTTTTCTAATACATAATAATTCCCCAGCACCCTCTAGGGAACGAGTTAAAAAAAAAAAAAAAGGAAGTCAAAAAAGAAGAAAAAAAAAGGCATTCTGTTCCTTCCATAAAACAATGCTAGGGCAGAGCCTCTACCTAAGTTTCACCTGTTAAACATGAAGAAGGTATACAGAGAACAGTTAATACCTGGACATGTGCCTCTGGGGAGGGATTTTATAAGAAAAACAACAGGATTTTATTAGAAGTTAGACACAAACGAAAATTCACAACTGATCCTCTAAAAAGGGATAGGCCTCACTTCCCCAGCATAAAAAATAAATACACTGGGAGTTACACAGCACTGAAATATTTAATGCTGTTGAATTGAAATGAGAAAGATTCTGCTTTAAAGTATTTCATCTTCTATAATAATTTTAATTTTTACTCCACTTGAAACAGAAAGCACTACCCCAATGTTTTAATATCATGAAAATATTTTAAATAGAAAACAAACAGTTTTATGTGTCAGCACCTTTTTTAAAAGAGGTTAAAAAGCACAAAACTCTTCTCTTTTTAAGAAAAAAAAAAAAAAAAAAAAAAGAGTTGCTGTGGGTATGAAACCAAACTATATTCTTCCCTACTCCCTCCAGCTAAAACACAAGTATTTTAGACTACATTTGAAAATGTTTCAAAATAAAAAGCAGACATGATGTGTACTAACAATATAATTACTCCGTAAACATTCACAAACCAGAGGGAAAAGTGCAAATGTCTAAGTTCCACCAGTCTTGTCATTATTTAAATTAACATCCCCAATAAACCAGATAGGCTACTTCTTCTCCATTTGTGAATGCTCTGAACCTCTGTGACTCTATGTGGTCAGTTTTGGACAAACTCTACATTCCTTAAATTATCAGCTGTAACAATAAGCTCTAACAGAAACAATCTGTTATCTTTTAGAAGAAACAAGGAAGCAGAGAAGAGTAGAAAAGAGACTGAAGGGAATTATGAAAACCTATTTCAATACTGAACTTTTTTTGCTGTGACACCTCAATCTATGGTTTTGTAAGTTTACCCTCCTTTAAATTAAACTCACAGAAAAGCACTGAAAATGAGTCACTGAAAATGGTGAAACTGTCATAAATCTCAAATGAGGACAACAGGCTAAATGCTTTGTAGAATCAGCTATGGAAATTTTTGGTATGGGCAAAATTTTAATTAAAAAATTGTCTAGACAGAGCATCTCAATGTGTAAAAACTTGTTTACACTTAAAGGAATTTATCAGAATCATGGCCAGTTCACACATTCTGGTAGCTCAAGACAGAGCACAGCCCACAACAAGGAGCACAGGTACCTCCAAGTCATTGAGAGGTCTCTTTCACTCTATATTAAATCTATCCATAGAATCATAGAATAGTTAGGGTTGGAAAGGACCTTCAGATCATCCAGTACCAGCCCCCCTGCCATGGGCACAGAAACATGAACATTCATAAACGTGAATTCAGTAGAAGCAGACTTGGAAGTCCAGCAGAGAGCTGCCAAACAGCCCTATGCTACCTTACATGCTGTGGAACAGGGATTGCAGCCACTGAACCCTTCAAACATGGCTTATAGTTACATACAAATCCATTCATTTTGGACCTTAGCTTATACAGAAAATTTGTTTAAATATTTTTAGAAGTGAACAAACACCAGCTAGAAAAAACACAGAAATTAAGGTAGGCCCATGCACCTTAATTTCGTGAACCTGCATTTATGTATAACCTGAGTTTAATTTCCTTTAGACCAAGTGAAACGTAAAAATTACCTTTAGAAAACATCTCTCTCAGGCACTCAATCACATCATTAGAACCAAGGAGGTCAAACAGCTAAAAACACATTTCTCCAGAAAAGCAAATTGCTAGCATTTAACTCCCAATCACAATTAGGCACTTGGGAGTTAAAGCATAAACACGCTCCATTATTAAGTGCTTTATTTTGCAACCTAAAAAGGAAACAGTAAAATCTGAAGGTTTTCTCCTTGGTAAATGAGCAAACCCCATCGGTTTCTTGCCCCTTTCACGATTATGCAACATCCACACGGATCAGCAACCACAGACACAGGCATCGCTGCAGCGCAGGCCCTTCGCATCAACCACCTTCACTTTAAACAAGGAAGAAACAGACAAACAGCAGGGTACGGTCACACCAAGGAAAATTAAAACTGTGAGAACTCTTTTTTTATCCAGGTGAAGTCTGTAGCAGCCATCTCCCCACTGCAGTACTTACCCAGAGAAGTGAGCCTCCTTCAGCTCCACAGCTACTGAGGCAGAGAAATGGCCAGGGATTCAGGCGACAGAGAAAACAAATGCAAACCAACCACAGGAACTACATCAAGGCTAGAATACCTGCCCGCCGACTGTCCTTGAGAACCCGAAGCATTCACCTACCGCACATCACAGGTCCCTACCCCCATTCCCTCCGCGTCCCTCTGAGCTTCCAGAACATTCCGGTTACTAGGTAAACCTCGCCACACAGCTGCGTGCCACACCCGCAGCTTTCAGCCAATCGCGCTCGGGCTGGGGAGCGTGGCTGGTTTCGATTGGTGCATTCGGACCTTCGGGTCTCCTGCTTCCCGCCCCTCCCCGCGGCTTTCGAGCTCGAGGCCGAGGAGCAAGTGTTGTGTTAGCCGCGGCGGTGTTGCCGGTGCAGCTCCTGACGGGAGGCCGCGGGACGTGCCGCTAAGCGAACGTGTGCTGATGCCCCCCCCCCGCGGCCCTGGTGGTGAGGCAGAGGAAGGGGCTGCATGTATTTGGGGGATGGAGGGATGTAATCCCTGCCCCACAGTGCTGCTCTGCAGAGAAAGTGGCGTATGGAGCAGGGACAGCCTTTGTCGCATGCCAGAGCTCAGTGCTAGAGGAATGTGCTGGTGCTCAGATGCCATGGATCCTGCTTTTTCTCCTCTGCCTTTTTTGGATGGCATTTTCCAGGCAAAGAGTTTTTAAGCTCATACAAATGGTAAGATTCCAGTAGTATCTACTAAACAAGAAGGGGAAAACGTCCAGTCCACATATAAAAAAGGTAGTATTTCCAGAGGAAATGATTGCCTTTTGTCTCTCAACACAGGCAAAAGCAAGATCCTACTTTGGGAGCTATGTGATGCACCTTTTGTCCTGTCTCATCTCCCACACTTCTGTCAACCCCCAAATCAAAAAGGAACATCCAGGCTGGAAACCTTTTAATTTACGTAATTGAAACTTGCTGAAGTCAAAACCTAATGGAAATAGTTTCTTGTAGAGAACAGTGTCAGAAAACTTTAATGACAGGTGACTACCGTTCCCTGAAGTAGATTTCATCCTGCTGAAAAGATCCAGCAGCAGCAGCAAGTGACCAATTCTCTTGAAGACTTAAAACTGTTACTTGAATCCATAAGGAAAAAAAGCCTAAAGAAGAATAAATGGAGAAGCTACAGGAAAATCAGCAGTTGTTAGGGTTAAAGTACATATCACTTGAGGGGATTGTAACTACTTGGCCTCTAAGTGAAACTTAAAGGGATTTCCAAGGTGTTGGTTCCAGTTTTATATTTGCCCATTAGGTGTAAGCTCAACAGACTGAAGAAAGGAAGCAGAGAGGCTGCCCAACTGCTTTTCCTATCGGAGCAACAGCAGTGGCAATGAAAAGATCAGTACAGCTTTGGGTGGAAACATGTAATTTATGAAACTAGAGGAATTTCAACTCTCAAGTGAAGTGAATTATATTTATATTTATCAAATACACCCGTGCAGAAGATATTACAAGGTAGGATACAAGGCAATGGGCAGCTCAAGAATGAGGAAATGGCCAGGCCACTTCTTGGCTGCTACTCATTACTCGGAGGATCAGGAGGTAGACAGCTACTCTTAAGTTAAGTCAGCCTTCAGACAAACATGAAATGCAGTTTCTGTCATTCCACAAACACACAGTTCTGAGAGTTCACTTCGACCTGTTCTTTCTTGTTTGTATCCCTGTAGTTCAATAGAACTCAACAGAGTCATAGAAAAGGTTTTAGTGCAGCGCCTTAAAAAGGGGCTCAGTTTCACAGGTAGACTTTTCCTGAAAATGAGGAGGGCTTAAGCAATACTAATAGATAGGTAATTGTGTAGTTACAACAGAATCAGCTAATTAAAGTGAAGTCAAATGGGAAATATCCACTGTTCTGTTTTGGCAGGCAACACAGAAAAAAAATTCCCACTGCTTGTATATCTCCCTAAGCCATTTATATCTCTAATTCCAGACCTTTTCTCTGTCTGAGAATTTTAATCTAAGGATTAAAATCTCTTATGAAAACAGTGTTAGCGGGAGAAAAGCAAACAGGAAAGTGTAGTTTTGAGATGTTAGTTACATTCTGAAGTTTCAGTCTTGAAAGTGGTTATTCTCCCATCCTGGTAAAATTGATCTTTACAGTTCTTCAGCACATGCTTGATTTTGGCAAAGCTGAAGTTTATTTTTACCAAACAGTGAAATTAGAGAAAAACCAAATTAGAATAAATTAAGTTTTAATTGCTTTTTGTGGTGTTAGCCTTTTAAGCCAAGTATTAAGGAGTAAATGGGATTCTGTCATTTTTTCAGGTTCAGTACCAAACATTCAAACATTTACTGAATCAGGGCTACAAGATTTGTTGAGGTAATTTATTCTGTCCTTTTGCTGTGTAAAGAGTATCTGGGACAAACATGGTACATCCCTACCTTCACAGGAATCCAGAAGTGGTTTGGCTGGACAACAGCTCTTGTCTCTGGGATGTGCATCCTACTCGCCCCACTGGTATGACAGATGCAGCAAAGACAGAATAGATGAGAAAATAAAGAATTAGATAAATTCATTCAGTAAGTTCGCTCCATTTTGTGAAATGCTGTCATTCTTTCGAAAACAGGTGTTGTCATGCATTTTTGCTGTGCAGCAAATATGAAGTATGGGGTTTTTATCATTACTTATTTGAAGAGAAAGGGGAATGTTCCCTGTCTATTTTAACCCATAGAGTCTTTAGCAGCAAGAATAGCCTCTAGAAATAATAGGGTGAAATAATAATACTAAAACATACTTTAGCAAAAGCAGAAGGTATAAGGATAATGTTGAAGAAACACTGGAAATCTATTTTCTCAAACTTTTTAAAGGTAGCCAGATAAGCCATTACTAAAACTAATGTAAGGCGTAATCCTGGGACTTAATGCATCCTTTCCATTTTTCTGTCTCCCACAATTCTCTTGATAATCTTATCATTGTGTAACCATCACAAGCAGCATCACCAGAAGTAATGGTTAGCTATTCTCAGGCCACTTTTGAATTATTCACTGCTGCTATGTTTCCATTTCTCTGACTCATTCTTTCAGAAATAACAGGAAGTAGAAAACATGGAAATGGAAGAGTTATGACATTACATTTTTAGAAAAACAGCTAAAAATTATCCAGTCTATTATTTTTTTTCAGCAATGCAAGAAATATTGTTATCTAACGGAACAATGAGCCACTGAAGCACAAAAAAGAAAGCCCAGCACAAAAACTTTGCAAAAGTCAGTTTCGTTACTCTTATTTTCAGGAAAAGAAGTCTGAGGCATTAAGAGTTCCAGGCAAAGAAGCAGAATTGAGGTCTGAACCCCAGAAGACTACACACCAGCTTTTACTTCCATCTAGAAACTGGGCAGGTTTAAAAAGATAACAAGCTCTCCACAATGCATTTCATTGTCCTCATTTTTAATTCTTTTTGATAAAATTATTAAATAGGGCTGTCACAAATAAGTAGATAAACTGGTATTCATAGAAGGTGTAAGACAGGGAAAAGATAAGAACTGGACAAGGCGATGGGAATTCTACAGTTTCTGTCTGCAGTGTGAATATTGTCTCTATTGGAAGAACTCTGAGGGTTTTGTAAATTGGTTTCAGGGGTGCTTCCCGTTACAGAAATACAGAAAAATACAGGGAAAAAAAAAGGCTTCTAAAACAATTATCTGACTCAAGATCTCTATAGTAATAAACTATTGGACAGAATGTCTTACACAATCTTCCAAAAGCAATTCAAAATGACTTGAAAACAAGCCAGCTGGAGTGGAAGCTGGCTGAAGAGCTGCAAATAAATGGTGATGTTATACAGTAATGTATCAAGTTGTCCACTCAGACACCAGAAAGAGCAGTGCTCTGTCAGGACTTATTTAAAGCATTGCTCTGCTCTGGAAAGTGACGAGATAAAATGGCACCTTCTTTCTCAGCAAATCTGATCTATGTATGTATCTAGTCGTATCTAATTAGTAACAAAAATTTATTCCTATTAGTCCTGCAGAGCCGATGTAGTTTAAAGTTAACCAAAGGGTATACTGCTGCCAGTACATCATTGACATAGGTAGGTAGGTTCCAGTCAGTTACAGCAGTGCAATAGGGGTTACAGAAGTGCCACTGGGGGGGCTTAGTTCAGCAAATGGACTCCTTATTACTGGTAGTAATGCTTGCAAAGGGGAAAAAAGCAAGTCTCTGAGTACAGGTGGAGTTTTCTAGACTGGCAGCCAGACCCCTCTTCTTGAGCAACAAGTACATTCCGTAATGACCCTTCAAGGTGGAACAGGCATGGATCCCCATAATATTCCATTTACCAAGAGATTTTTCACAGGGAACTGAAATAGTGAGCTTGTTTGTGATCTAAAAGTGACAAGCTATGGGAGTTCATCCTTGGAGCTAAGGAACAAATGCAAAATAGGAAAATTAAAAGGGAAAAATTAAAGGAAAATTAAAAAACAAGCTTAATATATAGTAGATAAATTGGCCTTCAAGCATCATTTCAGAATTTCAGCAATTCTGTCCTTGAATCCTTTTAAAATGCTTTTAACATTCAATTTCTTAAAGTGTACATAAGCTGGTTAAACTGGAATTATCTTAGGTGATAAAAAGGAATATACATTGTGATGGGGTGCTCATTTTCTTAGCCACAATGCTAGTGAATATCTTGGAAGCAGTATCAAATTCAGCAGGTGATATTGATCTATCTTAAAATAAACTAAGCTAAATAATAAAATAGTCTAAGCTAAACACATACAATATACAATCACATTAAAAGCTGTAGCATACCACCCATAATGGATTTCTTGTGGTTCATGAGTAAGCATCAAGTATTGACTGCTCATAATAGAAGCTAGTACAAATTAGGGATGGACAGGAGTCTTAGCAGACTCCAAATACTAAATTACTGTGAATTTCCAAAAAGTAAAAGGAAACTTTCTTGCAAAAAAATGAAATAATAAAGAGCAAGTAATAAATAAAAAATTTATATTTATCCACCAGGGCTTTCTGGTGGATTATGATACAATGACTAATATATCCTAGTTAATAAGCAGTAGAGTGAACCACCTAATTCTGGAAGGTATATTCCTACTTCATAGAAGAATAATGTTTCTAGAAGGTGCCCAGGAAGCATGAATACAGCCTACATTAT